GGGCCGGGCCGGGCCGTGTGTGGCGAGCGGGAGGGCGCTGGCTCCGCTTTAAGCGCTGATTTGTACCTTGCAGCCTGAATTTCAAGGACCCCGAGGCGGTGAGAGCTCTGACCTGCACACTCCTGAAGGAGGATTTTGGGCTTACGATTGACATCCCCGTGGAAAGGCTTATTCCGACCGTTCCCTTGAGGCTGAACTACATCCACTGGGTGGAGGATCTCATCGGTCATCAGGATGCTGGCGAGCGAGTGGTCAGGCGAGGCATTGACATAGGTACTTGGAAAAACATAATGTTTAGCGTGCTGTTTGCTGTCAGTGAAACTAGCTGCTGAGGCTTGTAACACATCTGTAGGTAAACGTGAGTTTTGAGAGACAAAATGAGCTGAGCTGTGCTTGCCATGGGGAAATGGGCAGTCTGACTGCATTGGTATGTCATTTGGTTTCTTGGTGGGCAGGATTTCTCTGCACAAACACAAGAACGGCCATAGCAGGCAGCTGTGCTCCTTTTTGTGGCCTTGAACGCTCTTGAGCGTAGTTTTGTGTGGTACGCAAGAAATGATGCTGCCACTAGCACAGGCAGAAATGTCACTTCAGAGGAATTAAAACAAAATGGCAATTCTCAGTCTTCTAACTAGTGAATTGTGTTAGCTATTATTAACTTTGCTCTTGGATTTCTGCATGAGAGAGTTTGTGAGTTGCATAGCAATGTTTTCTAGTGTTCCTTTTAATAATGTTTTTCTGTTGTTTCAGTGGTATTTGACAGATGAATGGGCTGTCTTTATAAACTTTATTTTTTTCTCCCAATGCAGCTATTTTTATGAGCTAAGTTAGGAAAGGGGCTTAGTTAGAAACAAGGGCAAATGCTAGCAAAGCTGTATTTTGGTTGTAGACAGTCAAAGATTTTCTGTTTATTGTTGGAAACGAAATATTTTTTAAACTGGACTGAGCATCCACAGATGGATGATACTGTCTACAGTGCCATTTGTGCAGTTTCAGTATCTGGATTATTGAATCATAGAATCAGTGAGGTTGGAAAAGACCTTTAAGATCATCAAGTCCAACCATTCCCCAGCACTGCCAAGGCCAGCACTAACCCATGTCACTGAGGGTCTCGTCTACATGGTGTATGAACACTTGCAGGGAAGGTGACTCCAGCACTGCCCTGGGCAGCGTGTTCCAATGCCTGAGCACCCCCTGGGGAAGGAGTTGTTCCTGATATCCAGCCTAAACCTCCCCTGATGCAGCTTGAGGCCATTTCCTCTTGTCCTGTCACTTGTTCCTTGCGAGCAGAGACCAGCCACCAGATCTCCTATAGTCACCTCCTACTGGGTCATATCTGGACAATCTGGATAAACCAGCAGATTAATGTGAACAGTTATTCAGTAGAGATGTGCATTTATAAGATGTACACTTATGCACAGAATTTGATTTTCATTAGAAAAAAAAATGGCAAGCTCTGTAGAAGATAGAAACTGTTTCACATACAGATAATAAAACTGGCCATTGGAGTCCAAATTTTGGTTGATTCTGTATGAAATATAAAAAGCACCTGTGATGGTACATTTGGATTTAGTTCACATCCTTTATTTTTGTTGATAGACTCTTCCCTTTGGATTTCAAAGGTTTATTTTGAAGATTGTTTTCTGCTAAAGTAAACTCATAATGAAAGTGAGAGAAGCTGGAATTTCCTTTCTAACTTGAGTGTTAATGGTTGACATTAAAACTTTGAAGTCACTGACTTCCTCAAAGCTAGTTACTGTTTTCTTGGTGTTTGCTAGTATGACTTACTTTTTTTGTAATGGAATTTTTGATCTCCCAAAATGTACTCACTTGTACTTTTAGCTAGATTTGTGATGGATACAAGATTTTTTTTCATATGATATAGGCATAGTTGCTTTTCTTTCATAACTTTCAAGATTGTTAGCCAGCTTCTATGCATTTGATAGTAGGTTTCATTTTTGAAAACAATTTCTATGAACTTCATCATGGGTAGAAGAGACAGATACTTTAAATCCTCCAAATATTGTGAAATCTTCAGTATTAGCCTGCAATGAGTGTTGATGTTCCAACTCCTGGAAAGCAGTAAGTCATCCAAGAGGGATGTTGTAGAAGTGCTGCAAATAACCACATGCTTTTGTATACTGACAGACTTCATTAGTTATGCTTCAGTAAGTCAGTATAACAGTAGACTCATGATACATCTCTGAGCTGAAGGTCTGTGGTGGTGAGATACCTTTTCCTTTTCTCGTATCTCTTTAATCCTAAGTTTGACTGTCATTGGTAACGTGATCACCCACATATGCCATAATCATGAGGAGGAATTATTTTGTGCTATCGTATCTTTCTGTTTGTTACCAAATTTTTATCTGTTGTGTCTATCTTTTTAGATGTCTTAACTGGCACTTCTGTTTCTTCGACCGTTCTGGGCATTCGGGAAAGACAGTCTGAGGGTGGTGAAGCCCTAGAACAGACTGCCCAGAGAAATTGTAAATGCTCCATCCCTGGTAGTGTTCAAGGCCATGTTGGACAGAGCCTTGGATGACATGGTCTAGTGTGAGGTGTGCCTGCCCATGGCAGGGGGTTGGAACTGGATGATCTTCAGGTCCTTTCCAACCCAAACCATTTGTTTAGTTTTTCCGGGGGGGTTGCTGTGTGCATCGAAGTAATTTATTTATGGCAGATAATAGAAAAATGCAGAAGAAAAATGTGCATGTGGTTGATAGGTTCTTTTTTTTCCCCCCAGTAAAACCAGAATATATTTGGCTTTTGCTATATAAATTAATCACTGTCATATAGAAAACGAAAAAGTGTAAGCTGATAATTTACTAGAAAATTTATTCCAGATTATTAAATTCTTTATTTTATTAAAAGTGTATATTTGACAATGCTGTATTTCAAATAAAAAAAATAAAGTTCTTTAAAGAACTGAGTAGCAAATGATCATTTATCAGCATTTTTCTTAAGATCAGTTCTTTTTGTTGTAAAAAGTACATACTTAACACCCACACTGTGTATAACAGCAGAGACTTGTTTTGCCATACTCATGCCTTTTCACTTCTGCAGGGACAGGGGCATCTTGCATATACCCACTGCTAGGAGCAACTTTGAATGGCTGGGATTTTCTTGCAACAGAAGTTGATGATATGTGCTTCAACTATGCCAAAAAGAACGTGGAACAGAATAACTTGTCTGATCTTATAAAAGGTATGAGGTAATAACATATTTAAGAGCACTGGGTGGTCCATCCATCAAATTTATGTCTCTCCAGTTTAGAGACAATGGTGTCGTACGGGACAGTGTTACCAGGGAAGCAGGAGAACAGATAAGCAGAGATAAGGCATCACATTTCCATGTCAGTAACTTTAAATGCGAAGAACTTCATATAGGGAGAAATGCTAAGTGTTTAATTTAGACATTTAAGATTATAAACCAGCGAACAGTGTGTTAATGTATTTTTAAAATGAACTATCCTTCTATTCTCATAGGTTTTAAAATTTGTTTACCTCTTGTCTATAGATTTCTGTACTCGAAAGGCTTGTGACTTACAGAACTGCAGCTTTGAAGATAGTGGGTGTTCTAGGTATTATTCTTGCTACATATCATCTGAACACCTTAGTGATAGCCTGCTACCCTAATGACTTCATTTTCTTAGGATCGTGATAAACATAGTAAATGTTAGACAGAGAGGCATGCCTTCTGCCTCTCGTCTGAGTATCTTCATTCTATGTGCATTATCTGTGAGTTGCAGGACTGGTAAAGTCTGCAAGAAGTCCTGCCTCTAATAATCTTAACGCGTGCTTTCACTGGACTTCATCCATATTTAAATTCCTGCTCCTTGGGCTGGAGTTCCTGTGGTTTTCAGCAGATGTGTTACACGACCACAGTTTCCAAGGGAATGATACAGCCTTTGGGGAAAAGCAGTGGAGATCTACGTGGGATGTTTGCCTTCATCCTTGTGATGGGCAATAAATAATAAGTTGGTGGACCCTAGTAAGCAGAATGTTTTCCAGAAAGGAACTCTCATCTTTTTCTTTTGTTGTGATTCTGATCAGTTGTTTTAAGACTACAGTGTTAATTTTTGGTGTGTTTGTAGTTGCATCAGAGAACTCAGTATAACTCAAACAGTTCCAATTGTTTTAAACAGACTGGTGTAATTCTGCTACTGTATATAAACACACAAGTTGTTTGTATGCCAGTTCTTGACCTGAAGTCTCTTTCTGCATGTTGAGATTTGTTACAGTTTTTGGTAGAAAGCATTGTTTAGAAAGTACAGTTTTTATACAATATATTTTTTCAAGACACACTGAAATGTGAATGGCATGCTAGATAAAATATGAAGTTCCTTACTGACCAAATTCCTGTTTTCTATTAGTGGTTAAAGTACCACAGAAGACTCTTCTAATGGATGCACTGAAAGAAGAATCCGAGATCATTTATGATTTCTGCATGTGCAACCCACCCTTTTTTGCCAACCAGCTGGAAGCGAAGGTAAGCTAACAAGCTAAATGTTGCATGTTCTCAGTGGTCAGTGAGTGGGAGGGTAGCACCAGTTTAACCTCTTCCCTTGGGAATGGTTGAGTGGAAAATCCCAAATCATTATGACATAGCATTTAAGTTTTCTTTTTCCCTACCTGCTGACCCCAAAGGAGTTTTGAAAAAGTTAAATGTTGCCCTTTCTAAAGTGGAGGATGACCTGTAGAATTCTTTCACAGGTTCTAGCTATCTTAGAGCATTAGTTAGGAAAATAGCTACTACATCCAAAATCAGCTGCCTGCTGCATACCAGTGGTACAGAGGAATTAGCTTCTGGCATTGTGTCTGTCTGTGCTTTTGTTTCCTTAGTGATTTCAGCAATATCATACGTGTCAGAACAGTTCCTTCAATACCCACTGAATACAATTAGAAATGTAACTCTATAATGTAGGGCAGAAAAGACTTAAGTGTTGAGATTAAACACTATAGATTGTGTAGATGCATGTAACTAGCATGTCTTATGTGTTTTTGAACAATGTATTTCATATTAGCAGGATAATGATGTGTGACAAGTAACTTACCTAGGTTTGCGATTGTAGGGAATTCACTCAGTTATGCTTATTTTGAATGTATTTGTCTATTATCCATGGTTCTGATAGGGTGGGGAGGGTAATTAGAGGTGCTTGCTACCCATTAAAGATTGAGACAGGAAGCAGTGTACAAAGCAGCCTAACATTTCATTGAATGTTCATCTCAAATGTTCTTTTTCATCCAGGGAGTGAACTCTCGAAATCCACGGCGTCCTCCTCCCAGTTCTGTGAATACAGGAGGGATCACAGAAATCATGGCTGAGGGGGGAGAACTAGAATTTGTCAAAAGAATTATTCACGATAGTCTACAGCTTAAAAAGAGGTTACGGTAAGGGCTTTTTTCCAGTTAAAAAACACCCACACAACCCCTTTTTATCATTTGTACATGATTTCTGCCAAAGAAACAGGTATTTTAAGTATGACTGTAGCTGCGGTCTGGTGGTATCTGGTTTGTTTAATGATAGATACACATCAGGAATTAGACTCAGTTTATGTAAGATTAGTTGTTCTTGAGCATGAAAAAGTTACAACTCATCATCAGAGGTATTTAAAGGCAGAAGGCAAAAAAAGCCTTGTTCAAGTGACACCTGTAGCATGCAGCTAAATTAGCACACATACTTGCTGAAGAAGGTCAAGTGGATTCTTAAGGGCTTCTGGGTTGGGGGGGAATTTATGACATTGCCTGTTCATTATCTAAAAGTTTCTTTTTGTGGCTGAATGTTGGTAACTTGCAGCTAAAGGACACTACTTTACTGAATGCTGTCTTGGGTGAATATAAGCTGCAGAAGAATCCAGTGAGACCTTCTTTTGAACAAGATGAACAGATCGCACATCCTCAGTTTTCTGACTATTAGACTTTCGCTCCCCCAGTGCCGTACATTATGATTCTAGCTCTTCTGGAAGATTACTTTTGGTTATTTGTTTTTGTTTTAATATCCTTCCAAATTGCAGCTGCTAAACTCTGTGTGTGTGTGTATGTGTGTGTGTGTGTGTTTTACCACAGCTTCAAAGAAGTGTTTTGCTTTTGGTTTGTTCAGACCCTGCTAGGCTTAGCACTGCATTAGAATCTCATCTTCAGCTGTCTAATATCGACATTTTTCTTTAAAATGCTTGTTTTCTAGTAATGAACCTAAAAAATTCAGACTATATTCAGTATTGGGAAAGAACAAGACAAAGCAGAACTTCATTGGGCTCTGTTAGAAATGCTTCTATCTTGTGTTTTGAAAATGGTTGAGAAGGTTTGCAGAGGCTGTGCTTTTGCCAACCTTGAAATGTGGGGCTTTTTTGGGCCTTTTTTTTCTTACATTATGGTCTTCCTTTCTTTGTCACCCCCAAATCTTACAAAATATAAAAGCGGGATAGATAGATGTCAGAGTGATAAAATAGAAGTTTTGATATTCAGAAGTGGTTCTCTAAGGTAGGGGCAGAGGATGCATCTGTGATGACTTTTTGAAAGGCAATAACAACATGGTTTCTGGTTCCACATGTTATGTGTAGATCCAGGGGAAACTTGCTTTTGGTAAGTTGCCATTCGATGACCTTGAAAAGAGTAGCAATATAGTAGAGAAGTGGGTGATGTTACTTTCAAGGCAAGAAGTCTTTGTCTTGAAAAAGCGAGGTGGAATTACGAGGAATGCGTCATTCCTGTATTGCTCCTCTTGGCAACACCACCACTCCTCCGGGAAAGAGGAGGGTATCTCTTGATCTGATAAATAGATAGCATAAAGCATAGAACATACCCAAGATGCTAACTATATATCATAGTTAGGGAAAATAAGCATCTGTTACAGAAAGAACAGTTTACTTAAAATACTGTTTCCTATTTTGCTAAAGATAAGGTTTGGCAACTCCACCAAAGGGCAGTGTAATGAACTGTTGTAAATAGAGATTCCCTTGAGCCAGGACGTGTTCTTGACTTATTTACCTCCATCCTCACTTCAGCTAGGAGTCACAGATTCAGGATGTTGTCATTTTGGGAAAGATGTGTGTTTTGATTTTGCCAGAAATCTTGGGGTTTCATTTAAGTATTGCTGCTTGACATTCTATCTGTTGCTTTATGGAGGAAGCAAATTTAAATAATTGTCCTGTAACACCACTGATAATACTTTAGTTTACAATATATTTAGTTTGTATATGTGAGCAATTAAAATGCCTGTCTTCAACTTCAATGTATATTCTTGAGAAAAGTGTCCTTTGATAACTGGGAACAGAATGGTATGGTTTGGAAGGGACCTTAAGATCATCTAATTCCAACCCCCTGCCGTGGGCAGGGATGCCTCACACTAGACCATGTCACCCAAGGCTCTGTCCAGCCTGGCCTTGAACACTGCCAGGTGTTCCAGGCATGGAGCATTTATCTCCTAAAACCTTGAAGAGATTCCCCTGTCCAGTTTGTCTTTAAGCCTCTGTTCCAATATATGTTGTACCATGTCCTAGTTGCTGTGTTTACGAGTGTGACTTTTGTTGTTGTTGTTTTGTTTTTTAAATCTCCTACTGTTCTTGCAGGTTTCTGAAGCAAGTAGTTCTTTCTGGCAGTTGCCACTTTCAGTTGACCTGTCTATGTAAAACACTTTGTTAATGTGTTCTTTGCAGGTGGTACAGTTGCATGTTGGGGAAGAAATGCAGTTTAGCACCATTGAAAGAGGAACTTCGAATTCAGGGGGTGAGTTTGTGTGTAGTCCTCTATATGTTCTTTAGAATATATACTATGTTCCAATGCATGTGGGTAATTATTATTGAATTATTTTACTGAGGTTTTTATTTACAGGAAGAAATTGTGATTCCTTGTTACGGAAGCACTTCAAGTGGTTGAGATTTAATTATTGTAGATTCAAAACTGATAGATAAGTAGTACATATTGTCTCCAGATTTATGTCTTTATCACATGTAGGAGCATGTCTTTGTCATGCTAGAATGTACAGGGATCCTGCTTTAAAATTACTTTAATGGGGCTGTTGTTAACAACCACAAAAATGCCAAAAGCAGATGCTGAGCTAGGCACAAAATTTCAAGTATCTGATATTCTTCCCTATCCTTGAACTGTAGCACCTCAGTCTTAGTAAGGAGAATACATGCCTTGTAACCAAGCCCATGCTGTGTTGTGGCTCAGATTAGGATACAGCATGAATGTTCCAGAAAACCCACTCATTCTTCAAACTGTCTTGACAGTTGCTGTATGTATTGGAAATTCTGATAGGATTAGGAATCGAAAGGTGGGAAAAGTTCTAGGACAAAGACACGTTTCCCTCTCTCTTCTTTGAAGGCATTTCTGAAAAGTAGTATACTGGATTTTTTCTTTATATTTTCCCGTCTCTCTGTGCAGACCTGAGGCTTATGCTCTGGAGCTGGTGATAATTCAGAGTGGGGTGTTGGTGTGGTTTAAGCCCAGCCGGTAACTCAGCACCACGCAGCCACTCACTCACTCCCCCTCTTCTTCCCTCTTCACCACTCCCAGAGGGATGGGGAGGAGAATGGAAAGAATGTAAATCCCATGGGTTGAGATAAGAACAGCCCAGTAACTAAGGTATGACACAAAACTACTGCTACCAATGATAATCATGATAAGGGAAATAACAAGGGGAGAGGATACAATTGCTCACCACCTGCCGACCGATACCCAACCCGACCTGAGCAGTGATCTGGGCCTTCTGGGTAACTCTCCCCAGTTTATATACTGGGCATGACATGCTGTGGTATGGAATACCCCTTTGGCCAGTTTGGGTCAGGTGTCCTGCCTCTGCTGCCTCTTGGGTTCTTGTGACCCTCCTCACTGGCAGAGCGTGAGACCAAAAAGTCCTTGACCAGGGTAAGCAATACTGAGCAACAACTAAACCATTGGTGTGTTATCAGTGTTGTTCTCAGACTAAAGCCAAAACACAGCACTGTACCAGCTACTAGGAAGGAGGAAAATAACTGTTACAGCTGAACCCAGGACAATATCCCAGCATGGTTCCCACTGCACTTTTTTTTTTTTTTTTGCTGTGCATCACTTGTGTTTATTGTTGTTTTTTTTTTTTTTTTTTCACTTCTTT